CGAGCCCTTCTTCCGCTATCGGAGGTACGTAGAGGCGGGAAGTTCTCGACCAATTGGGAACGTTGGAAGGTTGGACTGGTAACCTTCGTAATCTTATGCATGGAATGACCACATTGTATAAAGTAAACCCAACCACGTGTTGGTAAATACCTTAGTGCCCTTCCATCTGGTTCTAGCGTGGACATACAACATTACAACCTCAACGCGCGGGGAACTCCTTGCACGTGGCCGCAGAACAACACGCTTTTATTTTCATCGATGGCAGCAGATGGCGGGCGGGAAATTATGTGAGGCTACTTGTGTCTCGAACTCAGAGCTTTGGCTTTCACCACCACACCAAAGGTTTCCTATTTCATGTAGAAAGTCGAAGAAAGATGGGGCTTTTCTCGACCTCGCAGCTAGTGACGCTACCGTGACGTCACTTCAAAGCCCTTGAGGGAGATACTTACCTCAACACTGTAGTTTGGTGGGTATTTACTTGAAGCTGTAATGTGTAATTGGAATCAACACGTTGGGTCCAGAGGGGCGTGTATTAAACAAACGAGTTTGCGATGATTTTGACTTTCCAGCTTAGTGCTTGGTTCGAAAACGATCGAGAAAATAGGTTGAGAAATTGTGCTTCTTCGGTGATCAACTACAGTTTCTCTTTTGTGCTGGTCTGCTGAGGTAAGACCAAAATAATAACAAAGATCCCATTGGTCAGTTAGCTCCGCCGATGTGTTTGGTTGGTGGGTTTTCACTCCGATTGATGGTGTTCATGTGACCTTTGGAGTAATCGTGTTTTTGTGGATCCATGAGAATGTTGTCGAGTTGAGCTCCTCAAAACTTTGCAAATTTTCAGTGTACCGTTCAGTGTTTATTGACTTTTTGGCAGCTGAAGGAAACTTCAAGCCCATCGCTGCCAGCGGCGCATTGCGTCGAATCGTTTCGTGAGATTTTAGGGACAAAAAGATCCCCGTGAGTTGTTTTGAAAGTCATGGTCGTGCCGCCATAGAAACGTGCCCCTCAGGGCGGGAAAAACATCGCAGAACTTGCAAGGTTTGTAGATTTGGTTTCTCTTTTTCTATGGGGTTCCATGAAGTTTAAGCTTTAGTTATTTTACCTGATTCCTTCCTAATTGTGAGGTATTTTGGGGGAGGAAACGTGTATGTGTGTGAGCAAGCGCGCTTGGCGAGGGGAGGGGACGGGGGCTGCCGACGAAAGTGTTCTGCTCTCTGCTTGTTTACACTCAGCAGTTCGGTGATTGTGCAACCAAAACAAAGGAGCCCCTTGGCCAGTCTCTCTTAGGAGCCTTACCAGTGCCAGAGAGTGAGACATGAGCATGTATTGATCTTGTATATTGTAACATACGGTTCAAATTTACATGTTAAAAGAAAACAACAGCTTGTCTTAGAAAAGCTGTTATCTTTCAAGGTTATGATACAACCAAGGACACTGCCTGGTGGGCCGTTGATGGTCTGGATGGAAGGACAGTCGAAGGGATTTTAACATTTCCATTCTTGCTTGCCTCCCTGCGTATTTTTCAGGTACATGTTTTTCTTAGTTCAATGTGGATTAAACTTGCCACATCTTGCAAGCACAGCCTAAAGTTTTCTGGTGGAGGTCTGCACCATATGGCATTCCAAATCAATGAAACAATTGCTTATTTTTGTACAATTGAAGTTAAATTTTAACGAGTTCCTTGCTGAAAATAAAAGATTTTGATGCAATAATTTAAATGGGTAATTTTAGTAACATTGCCATTATCTGCTCTTGTTTGAGCATGGATAATATGTCATGTTTTTCCCCTGTGATGGTTTGCGCATCTGAAACTCATTTGTAAGCAATTGGAAAATGATCACTTTTTTTTAGTTTGACATATGCTCTAATAATGTTTTTTGCACAGAGCCTAAATTTTAATTTTGTATTGGTTTTAAAACTCAATAAATGTTATCAATGTGCACCTATTGTAAAATGTGTCTTAATTTCTTTCTGCTGCAGATTGCAACTATGGCTGATCCCCTGTATTCAGGAGAGCTGTTCCTTGACAGCCACCTCATCAAGCAAGAACCTATGGCAGACTCAGTCTGTGTTACATCTGCCAGTGTACCAATTCCATCTCGACGAGGTTTGGGTCTCTCTGACTACTTTGAAGACTCTTCATATCAAGCTCAGGAATCAACTTCATTGCAAGATTCTTCTAGTTACTGGGGTGCTGGTCACATTGATGATGATGATGATATTTTCAAAGTTGTCAACAAGGAAGATCTTATACAAGGCCCCACTTTGGCTGAATTAAATGCAAATGATGAGAATCTACTTGGAGATCTTAATTTTGATGATCTTCTTCTTCCAGAGGAGAGTTGCAATGCTTTCAACGCCTCATTATTGAATGCCTCCAAATCGAATCTTTTGTCTCTGAATCCAGCTGTGCAGGTTCAAGTTAGCACTCATAATTCAGTCTCGACTATATCACCAGCAGGATCTGGATTTTTGCCATCCTCCTTTCCTCCTGGAAATGTTTACTATCGAGATGCATTTAGTGTATCATCCAGTGTTCCATCGAGTCCTATGGATCCCTTCCTGTATGGTAGTGGCAGTGGAAATGCTACAGGCCTGTATCAAGCAGCACTCTCCCCAACAAGTCATCATAGCTCAAATTCATCTTTGCTGCCCCAATCTGTAGGGTCGCGGTCTCCTGTTACTCCCCCACCGCAAGCTATAAGCCCCCTGCAACATAAGCAAAGTACCCTTCATGAACTTCTCCTTCGAAAAGAAACATACTCTGCCTCTCCTGACAGACGTTTACTTGGTCAGTCTGTCCCCGGTTCCCATTCTCCTCTGGGAAATCCAGGGCCATCTGGAATGACTATTCATACTTCAAGACGTGCAGGAGGCAGTATGTTAGCAGGCTCTGCACCAAATTCTGTTTCTCGACTTTCTTCTTCTGCTCCAACCCATCTTGGTTTGGAAAATGTCTGGCAGCGACGTGAACCTAGGCAACATTTGCTTTCAACAGGATCTCTAGCAGAAGCAGGATCTACATCCTCTCTTTCTACTGGTGAGCTATCCAAACAAGATCCAAAAGCTTTGTATGGTTCTATTTTGTAGATTATGTGGGATTATTCAGGATTATTTAATTTCAGGTGGAGTGCTTAGCCCAGTATCCTGTGATTTCTCTGATTCAGAGGACAGTGACCATTATGAAGATTTATCATCAGATGGAGGTCAGTGCTTTACCCACAAACATCTATATTGTATTTTTTAACGAACCCGTTAGGAGGGAGTTCAACACCACCTGTTGCATTTTCTTGTGGCATCTGGGTAACAGCCCAACAATGAACACCTTGCACTCTGAGTTGTCCGATCGTCGCGCCGACCACCCAAAATATAGTGTAGTTATAAAATAAAGGTAATGAACAAAAAAAAAAAAAAAAAAAAAAAAAAAAAAAAAAAAAAACATGCAAAAAGACGCATCAAGAATTTAAATAATTCTTTACATACCTTTTAAGTTCCTACAAGGCCTTAAGTGACTAAATTTCCTAAACTCCTCTAACCCTGGGTTCGTTTTGCAGTTAATAAGAATTGTTAACATTTTTTACTTCATATCGTTAATTTTTCTGAACAGTGACATATTTTTTTCTTAGAATCCAGTGACATTGATGCATCTGGTCAACCATCCCGAAGCCAACATTCGAAAAGAGAACGTTTCTTTTGGCAGTACAATGTCCAAGCTAAAGGACCTAAAGGTCAACGACTAATTGTAAAAACTGAACTGGAAGATCCTTATCATTTGAACCGAGTGACTGATCCTGTATTCAGCCCTCAATGCTCAATGCAAGGAATAAAGCATAGGTGAGATTTAAGTTGATCACTGACGTTTTGCTGGAGATTTCTATCTTACTCTTTTATAATATTTCAGTGGTAAGGCTCGAAAAGGTGATGGAAATGACCTTACTCCAAACCCACGTAAACTTCACAATATTGGGCGTGAATTAGACAAGCTAGGAAGAATTATCAATGACATGACTCCAGTATCGGAATTACCATTCAATGTACGTCCTAAAACTAGGAAAGAGAAAAACAAACTTGCATCAAGGTATGATATAAAATGTTTCATGTTACTTTCTAGACCAGATTCAATTCAGATTATAGTTTTATTACTATTAAAATGTGTTTTGTGTGCTGTATTTATTTGTTTACATACAGGGCATGCCGGTTGAAGAAAAAAGCTCAACATGAAGCAAACAAAATAAAACTGTATGGGCTAGAGAATGAACATAGTAAGTTTTACATACTTTTTCAATGTTGACCTTTTTAAAAATGTCTACTTTAACACAATAATTATCATCACCATATTTCAGAACGTCTTTTACATGCAATTCAACAAGTTCGACAAGCCCTTGTTAGAAAGTTCAGCAGTAATAGTGTTGATAGTCTTGAAATAACAACTCAAATTGACGAAATCATAAGACATGCTACACGTAAGTTGCACCTCCTATTTTACATCAAGAGCATGAAAATCTAATCTAATGCAACAATACAAACATCACGTTTTAAGGACCCAGTGTAATTTTATCATGGTTCCATTTACAGGCATGAAGATTGCTGGGGAATCAACTGATTTTGTTAACACTATCCTTGAAAAGTTTAAGAATGGTGTTCCTGAAGGTGGTCTTAAAGAAGTGTGACTTTGTTTCTAGTTTGGTACACCTATGGTGCTTTCTCACTGAGTAAAGTGCAAATGTTTTGACACTGATGCAATTCATCCTTGTCAATCGAATTCCTTGGTCCTCGATGTTGCAGTGAACAGATCTTATAGACTTTCAAGCAGTATAAAGTCAAAGCTTTTCAATTTATTTTTAAATCAAGGATTGATTTGGGATTTTTCTGGCTGTGAGAATTAAGACATGTAATTATGACAGGGATTGACTACGAAAGGCGGGTAGGATTTTAATTTCTCTGAAGATAATTGTTAACTAACCCTGCCTTTCCATTGTGATTCAGCTCTGAGAAAGATGGTACTGACTACACTATTGTTAAATTTTATTTTTTAAATTACAGGTATATTTTTCTTCTGCAGTCAGTGGTACTGTAATACCTAATTTTAGATTGAAAATCTGTTGATAAAGTTGTCTTTCTCTTATCGTTTTTAGAATTTTTGAAGAAAGAGTCTGTTGTGGTTTCTCATGTCCTTAACACCATGGCATTGGTGCAATTTGGTGTTGACCACCTCATTTATCTCTCGTTAAGCTGTTGTTCAATTCTCAGCAACAAAATCAACAAGCAGACTATCTTCTTTCCTACTTGAAAATGAGGACCACGGCTCGATGTATGTGTTATTGTTTGTATATTTAAAAGTGTATGGGGGCTGGGTAAGGGCACACAACTTTTTGCTATGCTGATAGCTTCTTAAAATGATGAAAGGACCACCCAATCTGCCAATTGTATATTTCTTGTAATCAGTTTTGTCTAGACTATCAGATATTCTATCCTTACGTACACACAAATTGTTTCTCCTTTGCTTTGTGACATTTTTTTTCTTTCATTTAGTTTTTTGTTATGTGTTTGTGTTGTTTTCTAATCCTTATAGGTATTACATGTAAAGGTGGATTTATGACCGCAACGCAGCGAGCATATATTTAACTCTAGCGTTGAATGAACAGGGGGAAGGTGGTCAAAACAGGGTGAGGGTCTCTGAGCGTTGCTTTAACGCTAGCGGTAGAGCTATGCATGCAGCATTGCGATCGTAAGTACCCCTTTATATTTGGAATGTAGTTAGTGCACAGATTCCCAAGGAAATAAAACTCTAAAAATCAACATTCCTTGAGGGTTGTTAGTTAAATTTAAAAAATCTTTTAAAAAAAAGAAAAAGAAATAGCACTTAAAACCACGTGTTGCATGTGTTTGCCCTCAAAATTACATTTTCCAGGGGAATCTTTGGATTACCTGCATTTGGCATAGATAAAAATCTTGACTTTGACTAACTGAGCATTTCAGTCTTTCTCCAATTTCTGTAACATCTTTGCATGTTTGTTGATGGTACAATGCGTCTGGAATTAAAGCAATGAGTGCCATATCTAAACAACCTCCCCTGATTTTGTGTTCAGTTCTCTCCATGATCAATCATAAGTGCCACTTCCAAGAGTATCTATAAGTTCCTAATATTCCATAGAGGTAAGCATTTATAAATATATCCATCTCTAAAAAGATTCTTGTTTAAATTACTGATTTAAAGATTACAAAATGTATATGTTATGTTATTTATCTGACTTTCCCTGCCATTTACTCAAATTCCTGTTGCACCACTCCTTTCAAAGGGGGTGGTTTATTTCTTTTTGTACTCCGCGATAAGTAAGTTGTTTAAAAAAGAAATTGGAGAAGCTGGGATGCTAATGATTTGACATTTCTTTAAATTAATGGAATCGTTTTAAGTTTTTTATATCATCGTAAATCAAGAAAAAAGTATTGGAGTGAGCGCTATTTTCCTTTAAATCTGTATGTGCCATTCTTTTACTTGTCCTTGTCCAAGCATTATACTGCTACTCAAATTGATGCAAGTACAATGTATAGGGTGTGCTACCCATGACAATGGTAGTCTTTTGAGAAGTGTATTATGACTTCGACCTTTTAAAAAATTTGTTCAGTTTTTAGTCATTTGTTGCCCAAAATTTTGTCAATAATTATTTTCTGTATTGTGTTGCAGTCCTCATATTGTAAAAACACTTCCTAGTTTGAGTTATTTAATGTGATAAATATTTTATGAAAGTGCTTAAAACTTCTATATGTGCATATATGTATGTGTTTGCTCTCATAATTGTGTACCTATGTATTTGTGCATAAGGCGTATGATATATATATATATAAATATATCTTGTAGGAATGAATAGTTTGTTTCTATTTTCAAAGTGTTAATCTTTGTTTTAAGTTTACTGAATATGTTTATTGGTTTACAATTGTATCTAGGTATATGCTTGTGCAACACATCAGAAAATTACCTATAGTTACGCCTGGAATAGGGAAAGTTATTATCAGTTTCCTCTTTGTTATTTATCTGGTGAACTTTATTAGGTGCTATAGCACTTTTTACTTGAATTCATTTCAAATTTTGTTGTGTTACAATATTCCCCCCCCCCCCCCCCTCCCCCTTTTCCCTTACACCTTTAACCCCGTTCCCCCCCTCCTTTTTTTTTTTTTGTTTGTTTTTGATTTTCAGTGGGGGACCAAAGTGCTTTAGCTGTGTCCACTTTCCATTTTATTGCTTTCTTTTACACTGTGATTGTTTTGAGTTTTGACATAATGAAGAAGCACACTACAGAAATCAAAGATAGAAACCAAATGTGTGATTCTATTACCTCTTTATATTAGATTGCTGTACGTCAATTATGTAACAGTTAATTTTTTACTAGTCCTTATTTTAGTTCAACATGATTTATTATGTGCACCACTCATAGTTTGTGAAGCTTTCAATTTTTACAATGTGATAAGTAACCTGTTTTTTTCTTCCATAATGTAGAATTGGCATAGCTACATCATCAGTTAGATGATTCTCACCGGCCATAGAGGTGACTTTCAGCGATGTAAGACTCCTACAATGAACAACTCGCTGCTCTTTAGATTCTTATTTAAACTGTTCACAAAATTTAATTTTATTAACTTTATAGTGACATGGACTTTAAAAAGGTATAAGGTGTCAGTAGCTTGATTTGAATCTCCATGATTGTCCAGAAATTGTTGAAGGCTATTGAAAAATTAATACACACATTATTTATAAGTTACCTTATTACCTACCTCTTCTTTCCTATTATGAAGGTAGGAAGCAACATTGCATGTGTAATCTTATTATGACATGCTTACTTCTCTAAGGATCTGTTTGATTCTGTTTTCTGTGTGTCAGTTATAACCACAGGACAATGAAGGGTTTGCTCTTATTGTAGGAGGTCATACAGCAATTTAATGTGGACCAATCATTCACATGCATCAATGATTTCAAAATAAATAGCTTAATCTTAACCAACTCAAAATTGAAATTCTACTACAGATAAACTACTGAGCTCAGAACATAAAGTCTTGTGGCTTGGTAGTGGTGTGAATTGCTTTTGTGTGTCTTATAATTCCAACTATTGTCTTTACATTGTTACATTTTATTACGTTAAAAATTTGATTTGATTAATGTGAATGTGTGTTATCATAGTTTACAAAAAAATGTCTAGATAATTAATCCTTTGAATTCCTATTTATAGTTTCATGGCATGGTTGATGAAAGATTCACTTGGTTAATGCATTTTTAGCAAGATGAAAGCATGATACATCCATCCGCTAAGGAAGTGAGATCAAGCTTGGTGTTCCACTTGGAATAAAAATTACTTCATTGAACTCCCTGGTACAGTAAATATTTTGTTTTGGACAGTGGTACTTGTTAAGCAGTTGTTGGGAGGTTTCAAATATTAACACAGCACACTTAATAAAAACGAAGAATCCAAACTTAAATTTTACTTTCTTCATTCAGGAATATCAATTTACCATTGATACTATCATTGAACCTGCTCCATGTAAATAAACGGGTAGGTCCTGGAGGGTCCCCTGTCTAGAGGGTCCCCCCTGAATTTTTTACTATTTTTTATAGTTCTTATTAAAAAAATAGTTTTTAACATTAAAATATTAATAAAATATTAAAATATTGTTTATAACTAGTTTTAAAGGTCAGAGTGACCTAGGAATTTTTCATATTGGTTCCTAATGTGCTGTAGGGCTCTTGCTCTTAGAAGAAGTGTTTCTTTGCTAGTTGCGATCTGTATAGTTTACATCAGGCTATTAGAATTATATGTTAGTGTTTTCTATTCAGTAGAACGTTTTCTGAAGTGTGGAAATGTCGTCGACTTTCAAGTGGGTAAGACATCAAAATGTCAAACAAAAATGTTAATGCGTTCCCTTTGGATACAGCAAGCGCAGTGTCCAGATGTTGCACTGTGTGCTTCTGAAAGAACAACTACTGCCCCGCACTTGATGAACCCAAAAGAAGCGCAGTAGCATTTTTGTCAAACTTTTGGATGTGTTAAGCACTTGTAAGTTTGCGACATTTCAACACTTCCAAACAAGTCCTTCTGCATAGAGAACTTAGCGACTAATTCTCCTAGCCAAATGTCTACTAGACAGACCGCAACTAACATTTAACACTCATGTTGAGAGCAAGAGCGCAAGAAACAGAACATTAGGAAGCAGGATGGAAAATTTCTAGACACCTCAGGCCTTGCAAAATAGTTTTAAACAATATTTTAATATTTAATTAGTATTTAAACATTAAAAACTAATTTTGTAAAATAATAAAATATTCAGGGGGGACCCTCTAGACAGGGGACCCTCCAGATGTTTCCCAAATAAACAAGTGGCATTGTTTAAATTTATGGAAATTATTGTACATGGATTTTTTCTTGGATTTAATTGTTTTCAACCTTTATCAGCACAAGGAACCTTAATCTGTTTTGAGTTCCTCAATCTATCCACAATCCTGTACCAACATGAAGTTTCTTATTTTGGCAGAGGGATAAAAGACAAACAGTTGTATGTTGTATTTTCTTTTGAAACTGGTGTTAAGATCAGTCTTTTATTGAAGATATTTAGGAGAGCATTTCAAAAAATATTCTGAAAATCTCGCAAACATAGCAAGGACAATTTTAAGTGAGTGAAACAAAAAGTAATTTGAAACTTAAAAATGATCACATGAAAATGCAAATCTAAACCCATCAGAAAGTAATAAAATTGTCAGAAAAAAATAAAAAGTCTTGAAAAAAACCTTAAAAAGCAATCATGAGTGAATGATTAAATGAATGCAAAATTGATAACATAAAAATGATGATGATCGAGGGCTGGGTAACAAGAGGCAGAGGGCCACAATGTAGGGTGATCATTCAGTGCACAAGCTAGTCGTAAAAAATTTCGACAAGTGATACCAGAGCATGTATAAAAATTCATTCAAAACAAGGTAAACTGTGGCAACACATCCCTTTTTTCTTTCACAAGCATCAGTAGGTGGTGGTGCACTAGTCAGGAATGCAAAACGAAAAGTAACAACAAAACAAAGGTACCTAAAAATGTAGATACTTATGACAATTGCAGTTGAAAGCAGGTTGTAATCACATAACATAAAACATTTCAAAAGTTCAATTTTTTTCTAAATCATTTCTTCTTTTATGTGCGTTAAGTCTAGCTCAAACTGATCTTGCTCAATAGGTTTTTTCAACCATGTCCCAAGATTAGATTTAAGAAAGGCCTTCATAAGTTGGCTCTTGGCTTGCTGAAAAAGAAAACAGAATATTTTAACATTTCAAAAGGTGGGTAGGGCCTGGAGTGCACCCTGTCTGGAGTCCCCCCCCCCCCATTATTTGGTTATTCTTTACAATTTAAATTAAGAAAATCTTTTTTAACATTTAAAAAATATGACAATTATACAAATATTCCAAAGAAATATTTGTTAAAAGCCTCAGGGGTCTATGAATTCTTCATACCTGATATAAAGGTTATAGTTGTCATGCTACAACGGGAACCACATTTTCTGGTGCTTTTCTCGACTGATAACTGAAGTGCTCTGTACCGGGAGCACTTTGTGTTCAACACATTATTCGCTGCACACTTTTAAGTCGTGCTTAGAAAAGACTATGTATTCCATATGAACTATCAAGTGCAGTGTTAACACCATTCAGTGCTTGACATTAGACCTAAAGACTGGCGTGGAAATGTGGAGGCTGAGGTTAAAGCATACAGGTTCTGTGCTTCGTTTGCAGTACCTAAGGTATGAACGGCACCTGATTGCCTTCACCTCAGATCCCAAATTTAAAAGCTTTTTGAGTAGCACTAACAAGTGCTCAATAGTGCATTGCATACTCGCAAGAGTAGTACAGTGAAACCAATGCTTTTCTGTGAAAAGGAAGTGCTCCACACTTGATTGTTTACAGGGACTGCATATATATACTTTTCTGACCAAGTGTGCAGCGAATGTGTTGAACACTTATCAGTGTTTTCCAGTTAAGTGCTTCATAGAGAGTACCAATGTGACAAACCACCACAAATGCTCATGTTTACAGCTGAAGCGTAAGAAACAGCACCTATGGAAACGGTATGAAAATCTCATTGACTCCTGAGACTATTAGAAATATTTCCATGTAATATTTTTATAATTTTTAAA